CAAAAGATTGCTGTTAACATTGTTAACGCTGGACACCTACGTATAGGATTAGCGCGCTGTGAGTAAGATATAAAAGATAGCACAAGATGCTTTAGCTGCTAAGAATGGGACACGAAAGTTCCGCGTGTGCTATGTTTTAATTGTTGCGGAGTAGGACACAAATCCAGCGAATGCAAGGTAGAAACAACCTGTGCCAACTACGAGCAGCTAGGTAAAGGGAAGGGACTAGGACATCGAGCCTTCGCAGCGAACTGTAAGTACGAGGAGTTACTAAAGAAGGAGATTATTTCAAAGGGTATCGATGTATCGCAAGCGGAACAACAAAACTTGGAACTGGTATAGCGATAGAAGATGAAAGAAGAAGTATTATCTACTGAGATAATATGGCGGAAAAAGAAAATGCGAGTGCGGTCAAAGTGCAAGGTGAATCGGATATAGTTGAATCTCTGAGATGAAGGTAAGGCAAATGAACCTGAACAATATGGCGATCGCACTAAAGTTTTCGATACAAAAATCTAGAGATCTTAGTGTGTGAAATAGGAAGAAAAGGTCTAAGCAAAGTGCTTACAGACAAAGGCCATGACCGATAGTGTGTTAGCGGGCGCTAAAGGGGCACGTGAAGGCTTTGTATTGGTTAAAAGCGGAGATCTGTACATATATAGCGTTTATCTTCCGCCAAATGATCTCTAAGCAGAATGTGAGAAAATTGAACGATCTGGGAAATGAACTGGGACAGGTAGGACGGGGTAAAACGATTCTAGGAGGCAGTTTCAACGCGGTCTCGCCATTGTGGGGATCCGCGAAAACCGATAGGTAAGCAGGGTGACATTCTGGCAGACTGAATAGCTTAGGATGACATTGCGAACAAGGGGATTACACCATCTTTCGTAAGGGGGCGCAAGGAAATATCGTAGACCTAACAACAACGGCCGCGGAACTTAATACACGATTGTGGGGTAGGCCGTAGAGACAAAACTCTAGTGGCCATCGCTACGTACAGTGGAAAACCGAAGAAATCTTGACTGCGAAGATCTAAAGCACTGGCGTTTCGCCGAATGTGTGCAGCTACTATGCCGAAATAAATGAGTTGCGGAAGAAGTGTGCCCGACGTGTACTCCTTTGACGATTGTCAAAATTGAGACAAAAACAAAAACTGGCACTACTTACATGAAAAAAGGTGTTAGGAAAAGTAGACATCGACCTACTAAGACAGAAAATCTATCGAAATACTGGGAGTCACAATCGCTCGTCATGTCACATTTATTGAGCACGTCAGGATGGTATCGGACAGGGTGCTACGACGCTAAACAGAGTGCTATCGTAGAAGAGGGGAGCGAGGGCCTCAAAGAGGAAGATACTAACCTGTATCTGAAGTGGAGAGTAGCACCGTCGCTGCTAAATAAAGTCCAAAGACTTCTTACAATTAAAATTGCCAGTGTCTATAGAACCAGTGAGCTGCAGGCAATATAATGGTGATGACTAGTTCCAAAGGATGGGACCGGAAGAAGGTGAGGGAAAGGTGGCAGGAAAAATAGGGCCATAAAAATCACGGACACTGATCAAAGACGTAAATTTATGGACAGGTAGAAAGCACGGTGAAATAAATTTTTATCTGACCGTAAGAACGGCAGCTACTTGTACAGAATAAAGAGGAACTACAATGAAGACTGCGAGGATTGTGGGATGAGGGATGGTAAAGACCATGCGGTGGTGTTCGAATGTGTAAGGTGGACACCTCAAAGAGAAATACTAAAGGAAGGACTTCCACACTCGACTATCCATGATAACACCATCGCAGGTAGTGAGGAGAACTGGAACAAAATAGTGGGGAACGGACATGACTGGCTGCGCAGCCTTAAAGTATAGTAGGGATGTTGGTTACGTAGGAGTTTTGCCCGTAGTATGATTATTGATTTGCTGTCCTCGTAAATTTTCGGAGTGGCACGATTATAGGCCTTTTAATAGAGAATATAGCGGAACATGACGATTTTGTAATGTGGTTGACACTTTGAAAGTGTGAAATTGGTTAAAAATCGGGACATCCATTTGGTTGGTTTGCAGAAAATCGATTGGAGACTGTCCGGATGACGTTTACGAGAAATTGACCTTTTTTCACATCATTGAGCGAGTGATTGTAATGTTACCTTTAAAACGCGAGGGGGGGGGGCATCCCCTCACAAATTTATAAAAATTGGATACTCAAAACGCATGTTTCAGCGCTCTAAATTGGTAAAAAAACGTGTTTGTGGATGACATGCGACCTTCAATTTATTCAAATTATCGTGTCCAGTGGCGCCTTGATTGAGAGTATACGCTATACGCTGTATGTCTAACAAATCCTTGAGAGTATACGACGTATATGGAGTACCTATACCTTATGGGAACACCACTGATAATATTATGACAATATAAAAATAGATCTTTGCAATACCCTATGTACGAAAAAGTCGACGTCCTACAAAAAGTAGAACAAAATAGCAATTACCAATCACGGAATAGTAGTCGTGGCAATATTTTCACTCTAGCGGAAGAAATTGGCATTGATTAATCACTTCGTAATCTCCAGAAACCCTAACATTATACGAAATTATAAGTTACTCATGAAAATAAATATGCCGGTCCCTTATAACTTCATATTTTTATATCACATGACATTGATTAATGCGCAGTATTAAATAATTGATGTTCGATAACTCAGTCGTTTGAAGACACCTTGGTCCAGTAAAAAAATAATTTTAGCGTAGGCCTTCTGCGCTTCGGTAATCGGCAGTCCAATAAAAGACCAGCGTATCTATTGTTTTACGTTTTATTAAATAGAAGTTAATATCTTTGTTAAATTATGTGTTATCGCCATTTGGTTCTCTTTAATATCGTATATTCTAACTAGCCCTTGATTTCGTGTCCATCTTAAATAAACCTATTCAATTTCTCATTTGAAACACAAAACAATTTTCTTACATTTTATCTCTGTATCTTTCATACGAGTATTTGATTGGTCGAAAGGGAGTTTTTTTAATGCTCCTTTATTTCAGTTTCTAGGTTACCATTTATTTTTGGAAAACAAATCAGGAATATGAGAACTTTAATCGAATATCGAAACCATCGCTTTTTCATTGACCATATACAATGCGGCAAATGATTTTAATTAACTGTATTAGCTTAGATATCATTAGATTTTGTTCAAAAATTACCACGCTATAAATGATATGATGTTAGAAAGCAACCCTCATATACCTATATTTATCTATGTAAATTACTCACACTAAGATTAATTACAATATAGCGTTACACTGTCAAGAGTGGATTAACAACACAACACCCTTGCTTTAAACAGCCAATCGCAAAACGTAACAGGAAACACAGGGAGGTTATCAGTATTTTGAAGTGAAAAGACGATAAAAAAGCGAAAACGAAGTAAGCAATTAGGAGGAAATTACCATATTTAAAAGCTCTATGTAAAGTTCTCAGTATGTTTGAAAATCATTTGCTTGCGCGTACGCAATTAAAATTTTAGAAGTGGTCCCCTTTCCATTTTAAATACAACACAGTAGCTATGGCCTGCACGTTTATTTACATTTTAGATAAGGGAAAGGGAGATAAGAATTCTGCGCTTTGATAATAAGTATGGAGTAGATATAATGTATAGTAATAGGAGATTTATAACACTTACTTCATTTGCTTCACTATCGTACTCTTCCCCGATTCTCCGGCGCCTGAAACAAAAGCATAGATTAATTAGCAAGTCGTGTAATTGGTGTTTGTTATAAATCGTGAAATAAGTTTTGATTTTTATAAAGATTTTGAAATGTTCGAGTTGCACACTAGATACGTAATAAGCACCACGACGTTGAACAAGATACGAAGAATCGCATTTGATTTTCAATATGGGAATTTTTTGCAACTCAGCTCGCATTCGGATACCAGACTTATAATCCGGCTCATATTTAATAGCAGTGATCCTTGAACTCTTAGAAATCGATTGGCGAAGGTTTGACATCGCTGTCTCTTTTCGTTCTCGAGTTAGACGAGGAATAGACGCGGACAAAACACATACAGAGATTTTTGTTTCTTTCGAAAACTCCCCTAAAACGCTATAGCGTAACGAGCGTTAACCCCAAGCGAACGTTATAGTTTTCATTCGGCAACAATCAACATTTTGTGCTGAGTTTTTGGATTGATTTAGATATAACCATTCAAACAAGTTAAAAAGTAATCGTAAACGANGCATAAAAAGTGTTCCCAACATAAAACATGTTAGTTCTAATGTTCCCTATAGTTTCTGATAATGATATTTTAATTAAATTAAAGCACCGAAATAGAAAAAATAGTATGAAAAACGCGTGTTACAATGCTTTATTGTAATACTCCTATCTTGCGGGCACTCGTGGCTACGCTTCGCGTCGCCACTCGTGCCACAAGATAGTCGTATTACAATAGGTCGCATTGTAACACTTGTGTTTCAATATACTATTTAATTAACTGTATTAGCTTAGATATCATTAGATTTTGTTCAAAAATTACCACGCTATAAATGATATGATGTTAGAAAGCAACCCTCATATACCTATATTTATCTATGTAAATTACTCACACTAAGATTAATTACAATATAGCGTTACACTGTCAAGAGTGGATTAACAACACAACACCCTTGCTTTAAACAGCCAATCGCAAAACGTAACAGGAAACACAGGGAGGTTATCAGTATTTTGAAGTGAAAAGACGATAAAAAAGCGAAAACGAAGTAAGCAATTAGGAGGAAATTACCATATTTAAAAGCTCTATGTAAAGTTCTCAGTATGTTTGAAAATCATTTGCTTGCGCGTACGCAATTAAAATTTTAGAAGTGGTCCCCTTTCCATTTTAAATACAACACAGTAGCTATGGCCTGCACGTTTATTTACATTTTAGATAAGGGAAAGGGAGATAAGAATTCTGCGCTTTGATAATAAGTATGGAGTAGATATAATGTATAGTAATAGGAGATTTATAACACTTACTTCATTTGCTTCACTATCGTACTCTTCCCCGATTCTCCGGCGCCTGAAACAAAAGCATAGATTAATTAGCAAGTCGTGTAATTGGTGTTTGTTATAAATCGTGAAATAAGTTTTGATTTTTATAAAGATTTTGAAATGTTCGAGTTGCACACTAGATACGTAATAAGCACCACGACGTTGAACAAGATACGAAGAATCGCATTTGATTTTCAATATGGGAATTTTTTGCAACTCAGCTCGCATTCGGATACCAGACTTATAATCCGGCTCATATTTAATAGCAGTGATCCTTGAACTCTTAGAAATCGATTGGCGAAGGTTTGACATCGCTGTCTCTTTTCGTTCTCGAGTTAGACGAGGAATAGACGCGGACAAAACACATACAGAGATTTTTGTTTCTTTCGAAAACTCCCCTAAAACGCTATAGCGTAACGAGCGTTAACCCCAAGCGAACGTTATAGTTTTCATTCGGCAACAATCAACATTTTGTGCTGAGTTTTTGGATTGATTTAGATATAACCATTCAAAAAACAACCAACCACCAAGTGAAGATTGGAACTCTTATTTAATAATTTAAATTTTCTTGTTTAGAATTATTGGTTACAAGTTACAACTTATATTGTTTTCTAAGTTGGCCAGCAAGAATATTTTAAATTCAGTTAGGATTCGATTTTTAGCGCATTTTTTAAGAATTAACAAAAATGTGGTATTGTTTGCATTTTGTCCGTCCGTCCGGACCCACTTCTACCGTTTTGAACTACTTCTAGGGGAATGGTCCTAGAGTCCTGAAATTTTTTACAGTAGGTGGCCTATACCTTGAAGGTGTGCCAGACGGCCATCAAATTTCGCTGTCTAAAAGGGGGACCCCCCCCCCACGAATTAAAACGTGCATAACTTTTACATACGACAACCAATTGGTTTCAGATTTTGCATACGCATGCCTTTAGTGGTGCCAAGTTAAACTTTAGAAAATGGGAGGGGGGAGGGGACACATGTTTTAATTCAGTTTGGCAGAACAGGAATTATTCTGTATGCACCTGTAGTCCACTCTTCCTGAGCCGATGCAATACTAGTTGTCCAATTCTGGTCTCAGGATCTTATCCAATAATCGTTGGAATGTGGAGGGTGCAGAGTATAACCCAAATGGTAAAACACTAAATTGAAACAAGCCCCTTCCTGCGACGGTGAAGGCGGTTATCGGTCTACTGGCTTCCTTCAGGGGCACTTGCCAATAGCCCGACTTCAAATCTAGGATACTTATATACCTTGCTTCTCTTAATTTGCTTAAGGTTCCATGCATAAAGGGCAAGGGATAAGCGTTTTCGACTGTCAACTGATTGACCTGACGATAATTAACACAGAAGCGGTGTCTTCTCCACGAAATGTTACACGGTTCTATAATTCCATCCCCCGGCATCTGATTTACCTCCGGTTTTATAATTTCTTGGATAGCTCGATTACGGGGGTAATGTCTCTGTTTCTTGTGTGATCAAAACTCTCTAAACCTTCCCCATATAGTTATTTCAACCCCCATTTCGAGGAACGATGGATCCAACCCAAAAAAAAAGTCTCTGTTTCTGCCGTTCGGCACCTGTTATGGTATGTTTATGTTCGATTAAGTATGTTTTGCCTGGTGAAGATCTAAACTTCTCCAATTCTTTTTCTAAGAACCGATTGAGCACAACAAGCTGTTCCTTATCTGGGCCATGCATTCCTGCCAAGGCTGTACTGGGTTCCGTTTCCATATTCGACTCATGATCCGAACAATTCTGGAAATTAATATGAATCACACTGTACATACGGTGTAATCAAATAAGTCACTCAATGTTGGTATTTTTTAAATGCAATACGTCAATTGTTTTTCATTCTTTTTCCTGAGTACATTGATGTACAACCTATATTTTTTAATGTTAGCCATTAAAACCTTATTTTTTATTGTTTTTAAATAGTAGGCCATGGATGGATGGATAGTTGACGGTGGAAACATGTCATTGCAAAATTTTAAAAAATATGCATCTGAGATACACTGCAATCTCAACCAAAATAGGACACACTGTACAAGTAGCTTAGACTTTTTGAACATTTGAACATCAAATCAGATACAAACAACTCACTTAATTATGCGAATATCAATGCGTGAAACTTTTCTGATCTAACAGGATGAACTCATTATTATTTAAAGTCAAAAATAGAATTATTATTAATCTCCAAATCTACTAGTTTTAGGTATCTAGTGTGGTATATTAAACTTTGTAGAATAAGATGTAAAATACGAAAAGTGAATTAAAAAAAAAATTTCGGAAGAACACAGGATCCACTTGGGCTACAATAACTGCGTTATTTTGCCGGCTATCCAAAGCAGAGGAATTATGCCTCAAATTAAAGATTTTAAATCAGGCGAAGATAATATGTGTAATTTAAACCACCCGACGGTTAAAGTAAGCGTTTTATTTTACCCCTATTATGTTAGAGTAAAACGGTGTAAAACGAAACTACTTTTCCCACTAAACCTAAATAAGCGCACGGGGCTTAGCGGTCTTGTTTACAATATTTTAAGTGTTTACTCAATTTAAGGGATTTGAACGTATGGGGTCAACTTTGTTCTATTTATCGTTGTTTTACGGCCTAAAAGTCAGAAATATTGCGTTGTGGTTCCTTTGATTCTGAGCGTGAAGTGGGCATAACACCATAGCCAGGGACTTTCTCGTGTTATCGACAAAAATTCTCTACTCGAAGCTTACATACAACATCGATATCAAATTAACTTTTTTGGAGATTTCAGTTCAGATAAAGCGAAAGCTTCAGAAACTCTACCACCAGCGGGCGTGACTGTAAATTTTTATGCGTGCTGAAAAGATTGCGAACGTGACCAGTATCTATGACCCAAATCGTGACAGAAATTGGACACCCTTTACGGCGACTCCTTGATTTTCGACCCCGTTCCTTACCCTAATTAACAAATTGAATAACAAAACATTCTCGACGCAAAAAGAAATTCAAAAATTACGACATCCACGTGTCTCGGCAATCTAGGTGGGAGGATGTAAGGCCGGAGCCGCGTTAAAGTACGACGTCGTGCGTCTTGAAACGTGAAAGTTATTCGAATTTGCTAGTTTTTGTGCGATGATCGTGTCGAACATTTGACACGTCCCTTGTGTATGGAGTAGCTCTCGAGTCTCACACATGCCATATGGTAGGTGAAACGTGTCTCGTATCTACAGTTACATTCCCAACTCACTGAACCCCCATACGGCCTGCTAAAGTGTATTTTTGAGAAACCCTTCCTCGGAAAATGAAAAAAGTTATCTACACTGACGTAGACGGAAATTGTGGAAATAGTGCCTAGGAAAAGTGATCGCGAGTTCTGTATATCATTGGCTCCCTCGCAGCTCGTCAACTGAATTTAAAAGAATTTTGTTCGGTTTACTTTTCTTGACAATTGATATTCCTGATTTAAATTAACTGTTTGATTCTTACTCTCGTTTATATTCAATATTCTTAAGCCATCTAGGTTTCCCTTGTAATTCACAAGTTTAGATGTCAATTGTTCTTGTAATAGAGTTCTTTGTTTTTCCGACGGAGGTCGTGCAGATGTCTTCTTTAATTTTATGTTGCCCACGAGTTGTATTTCTCGCGCAGTAAAGATTCTGCCGTCATATTATAATTACATGCAAATTATTTTTCTTCCGTACGCCATTACTTTTTTTTACATAGTGTCTAACCTAAACCCGGGCTTTTGGTTTTGGCTGTTACCATATATCGTATGGAGTGGTTCCTCATTCTTTCGGGGTCTGTGGCTGTGCTCCATTGATGCACGCTTTAGGCGGATTTGTAATTGCTGTTAATCAGTCTGAAGTATGTGAATATTATGACTTAATAAATACGTTTTTTAAGCTTTTATCTTCCCTCAACGTTTGCTCTTTGTTCTCTTTGGGATTACCTTTTACATTCTATCTACCTCGATATTACCTATTATGCTCGTCAGGAGAGAATACCGGTCACAGAACGCTTGATTGCAGGCCGACATCAAATGTTCTGTGACCGGCATTATTTCCTCGCGAAAATTATACTACCTACGCAGTACGTGAATGACATCGCATTTTTACCTGGACCCGCCGTTTTCGCAAGATTAACAGTCGCGTACGTCACGCTATAGATGCATTTCTACATTACCGGCAGATTTCCCGCCATTTCAGTGAAACCAAACATGTGATTATACCAACATTACCTGTGACCTACTTACATGGAATTTGTGTATCTACATTGATCGATGTAGAATTTTTTTCGACATAGAAAGTGCAAAAAAAGAAATAAAGCAGGTTTCATTTGAAAACTCAACTTTTTAAGGTTTGAAGTTATTAAAATTGACCATTACTTTTAAAACACCCTGTAGAATGGCGATCAAAATTTAAATCAATGTAGCAACAAGTCAGTATTGTTCATTTTGAAAAACTTGAAGAAATCTCGAATATCTTGAAAACCTTTGATACTGGGTATAGGGAAATGTGGTATCAAACGATGTAGATTTTCGTGTAGATTTCAAAAATGCAATAAAATATAGGGTGTTTTATTTAAAATAGCATTACGATCATGATAATATTGTCTTTCGATAGATCATGAAAAACTATGTTGGTATGCAAATTTGCAGAGTACCTATTAATGGAAGTTTGAATACTTTTAGGTAACGGTTTGCGGGAAACATCTCGATTAAATGTTTAAATTTCATGTCACAATTCTTATTATTTAAATTTTGCTTCACTTGCTGCAGTTCTTGGTTATACGAGTGAGGGGGGGTTCTCAATATATCAGTTTAATATGTGTGTTTGTATGTATTATATGTTTGTTAGTCAGTCTTTGGTTCTTTTATGGAAACGAGGGCGGGCCGACACTCCATATACACAATGTTTTTGACGCATTCACGCATAACTCCACAATCGAACTACTTTCCTTCTTCTATTGGCATTTATTAGTGTAAGTACTTCGTGAACCAACAAGGACGACCTACACTGCAGTTGGAGAAAAGGCGAGGAGTGGGTACCACCGAGCCAGTTGCTTACAGCAGAAAAGCAAATGTGGTATTTATTTACATGGCCTGATGACAGTCAAGTTCGCTAACGCGATATAACGCTTATTAACGAGCTCCTAGCGAGTTCATGATTTTGGAATTTCTGTCCGTCCGTCCGTCTGTGGACAAGAAAACTCGCGAACGGTTTCGAATTTTCCAATTCTGGTTTCAGGAGTTTAGTTATCATCACCCAAGGAAGAACTGATTAAATGTTAAGTGGCTCAGGAGCTCGTTTGCTATATTTGTTACAAGTTTATTGTAGATTTATAACATTTTAATAATTAATATTTGACTGATAATGCATTTCTAATTACCGACTCAACCTTACATGAACTTGAAAGTCGTTACTTATTCGTACTTGTCCCAAAACGAGAAAATTTCAGGTGATTGAACGAAAAAAGCCTTTACAAACTTTTTTTGTTATTCTTGGCTTTTAATTCGTTTATTTAGAAATAAAATAACGTAACAGAAGCCTCTTACATTATAAATTCAATTATTTATTTACTGTTAAATAAATCGGGGAAGTTAAATTACAGAAGAAACTTGAAAAGAGCAAACGTGACGTACTTTTATAAAGTTAGACTGGAAAAGGATCAATAAAACACGACATAAAATTCTAAATATGTTAAAAATAGAAACTTTATATATAAGGTTGTAAATATATACTGCCACTATAAAAAGGGACCTGGGGATAAATAAATATTGATTTCAAATTTGCCATATATGTATGAAGCCTGTTACCCCTTAATGTTCCTTCCCCAACCCCAATTAAATGCACAAAATGAGCATCAGGACTTTCCAAATGCTTAAAACTTAACTAACTCGACAAGAGATAACGTCAATCACTTAAAAGATTAAGAACTAGTGATTTAGTTTGTGGGGAAAATGGAGGAGTTTCGGAACATAAATCCCTCAATACTGATCAGGATCGTGCTTTTACGAAAAGCGCTCACAAGGCGTCTCATAAATCCCCATTCCAGCCTTACAGAAGATGACTGCCGCCTCTAATTGCATTACGAAATCGTTTAGGTAAAGTATAACTAATACAATTTGCTCTAGAATCGAGTTATTGGCAATTAAAATTCAATTTAAAAAGTATCAATTTTATGCGTTACATATTAAGGCCGACAATTAAAATCTTTAAAGACTTTAAATTAGTGACGACTATTTACAAAATACGCCGTAAATTATACGAATGTAACATTAAAACAATCTTTACGAGTTGTTATTTCAGTCCAAATACAACAATGTTACCAGTTAATTATTTCGGTACGGAAACGCTCGTGCCTCAAGATTGATAAACGGGACATAAATCCAGACTCGAAATAATTAGGATTCCGTTTTTAATTGGCGCGCTTGATAGTTTACCATTACAAAAGTTGGAAACTTCTGAAATAGCACATTCTTAAATTAAACAATAATATAGAAAGACAAGTGTTACAATGCGACCTATTCTAATTCGGTGGCACGAGTGGCGGAGCGAAGTCAACTCCACTATTTTTTCTATTTCGGTGCTTGAATTTAATTAAAGAATAATTACCAGAAACTATTATAGGAAACATTCGAATCAAAGGGTGTTAAGTTGTACTCCCCCTGCAAGGAGACAAGCCCTATACGTCTGCGTCTATACCTTTCGTAGGTAGGTAATCTTTTGTTTTGTTTTTTTTTTTGCTTGAATCTTCTGCTTCTTCTTTGCTGTTACATCGAATTCGGATGACATCGCATTTTAGGTACGTGGAACCGCCATTTTGAGATAGTTAGGGGTCGTTCACGTCACGTTATATTATTACTCCTCCTGACCTATATAGAAATTATGTACCTTGAAGACCCTAATTATATAATAATTATATTTTTGTGAATTGCCGTTTATACCGACAACTTGTGTCAATCAAAGTGTTGCTTTTGCTTTCTAACGTAACTTGGATTTTGGATTGTATGTCGCTTAAGTGTTAGTTACAATTCCTACTATTCGAATTGCTCGACGTGTCAAACGTTAATTTTATTCTCGCACTTATATGCCGTCCCAGAAGATATAATATAGTATAGGAGAACCCATTAACAACGCCGACCCATCTCTACTTTGCCTAAGCTTACCGTGCTTAATTAAAGCTAATTTTGTTGCGCGTACTCAAAGTGCATGTGACAAATTCTAACGGATCTTTGATGTTTAATGTTGTGTTTAGTCTTGCAATTTTATTTCTAACCCACGCCCCCATTACACATGAATCCAATAGTTTCATCAAATTAAAGGGGCGAATTTTCCAATAAATTATATTTGGTGAAATGATAATAGTTCGTAAGTAGTTGGTGAAATTAGCGGTCCTTTTTTATATACGTCAGTGAGCTGTATATATACGCAGCGACCTTTATATTACTTCCCGAAATCGGTGTCCGGTCTGTCCGGGGTTTGGATTAGATTCGGTTGTCTTAATTAGCGCTACGTCATTAAAATTGCGAATTAGGCATTACATCATAGCCTATCATGTGATTTGTAAATTTTGCAGAAAATTCAGCGAGTGGTATTTAGATAGATTTGGTCGGGGGGTATTGTAAAAAGGCTGACTTATTTACTTCAGAAGCCAGCTTGAAAAAGGTTTTCATTAGTCAGTAAGAAATTAAGTAAGTTATTCCGGAAGATTTTAAAGAGATTCGCTTTTGAACTACCGATGCGACCAGTGCGTGATCCATAGTAAGATTTTGATTTCGTTTTGAGTCTGTGCTACCAGAGCAAACAGTGCCTAGTAAAAAAGCTTATTTTGTTCTCTTAGAAAGAGTGATTACATCAGTTTGTGGCGAAAAAATTCTCGAACTTTATCAGTTGGTTAAATTCATACACAGAAGCGATGTCAGTTTATCACACTACAACAAAGGATCATTGTGCAATCGAACAAAATATAAAAATGCACGCGTTTTAGTAGCATAAATTAAACAACCGAATTTCGAACAAGGACAAACTAATTATGCTCGCCAGTATATTTTCTTTGCCTTAAAGAGCTATTGTTAAAAAATTCAATGTAGTTATTTCACTGCAGGTCATAGTGTTCTCCACAACAAACGTAAGGGGATCCGTCCATTGCAATGTCGGGGTGGACTTCTTCGCTGAGACTACGTGTTGTTGTGTAATAACTAATAATACTCGTAATAACGTACGAGCAATTTTAACTATCATAAATCCCTTAGCAGGAGTGCCATGAACACAAATTTTGTCATCTAAATATATGAGTGGCCGTCGGTAGTTTGCTTCAGTCGAGGGAATCCATTTCAATCCTTCTGGATGGCTACAGTAAGCGCCACAGTGAATAAAAGAAATTTCATCTGCATCGGAAGTGGAATGGTCCATAAATTCTAATTAAGGTAGGTATTTATTAAAAATATTTATTTTTAATGTTGTATGTTTCGGGTATGCTCGCAAAAGGTAAAGAGAACTGACAAATTAAACCATTAAACTGTCATGTTTCTTTCTATTCATCAGTTACCTCTCGCATTATGAATTTATGCACACGTAATGTACCCTTAATTGATTTATCCGTTGGTAGGTAATTCCCCATTGCGCTTTTGTTAAGGCGACTCATTTCTCTTTTACAATCTAGGGCAAATAGTTACTTTTAGTACAAGTATTTCTAACATTTTCCTCTAAGTGTACGATCGTCAATTATCATACACTTGACGCTTAAATCATTTACATTGCTGCCACCAAAAAGTTTGGAATAAAGCGAACGTAACTTTTTACGCGATTGTTAAAGGGAAATGGCAGGGCCGATGGAAATCCCTATTCCAATTTAATGTGACAAAAACTTAACCGGGCTTTACAGTCCCTTCCCGCATTTTAATACCAGTTATTTAAAGGGGCGGTGTTTACGTTACACACTTTCAACTCTAATAAATTTTCATAATTACCATAGGTCGTGCCTACACAAAATTTGACTGTCTGACAAAGTAAATAACAGAAAAGATTCCCGTTTCGGTCACGTATAATTTATTGGTTGTACACTTCTAAAGGAGATGAAGGAACAGTTCCGAGCGGTCGGTCATTGAAATTCGATGGTAAAAATGTGGCTTTAAATGTATAAGAAGTGACTATTGATCAATGAGACTCTAATCGCACCACGAGTCGTGCTGAAAAGTAATTTATTTTCATTTTACATTCATGAATTGAACTAAACATGCAAATCAGTTTAAACGAAACTCTTAAATTCAGGTACGTACACTAAAAATAAATGCATATACAGTGTGTTTTTTTTTAAAGATGAGCCATAGGACAATGTAAAGACGTTGACTTATTTAAAATGGGCCATAGGGAAATTTACATTGCATCATTTGTTTCAAGGCATGGCTTCCTCGCAAATTATCTGCCACAGTATTATAAAAATTATGTAGCTCCAAAGAAAGTAATCATTTGGTTCAAGTTCGTGCATATTCTCAGTTGACCAACATCCACAGTTCTGGGAGTTCACTTCACCATTCAACGTAAACGTAGCTTTATGATTAAATAAATTCGTAGTGGTAGGTCTTCATCTTCATTGTTGAAATTCGTCATTTCCTCACAAAAAAAGGTTCCGTTCCAGAAGCTCCTGATGGAAATGGTACTTATACGACTTGAAGCCTTCAGAAGCAAGCGTGCCAAACTGAACGAAACTCCTACCGTATCTGCGATTTGTCTAAAACTTGATCTTCGATCGTCCTCAATGAGTGTCAGGAGTGTAAATTTCATGTATTCGTCCATTGATTTAAAATGTTAATTTCTTGCGAGTTTCCCAAAAATGTTGCAATTAAAAAAATGTGTAAACAATTGGAAGCCGAAGATTAAATATCTTATGATTTAGCCTCCTCTACCGTACATAACGCTGCAGTTAGTCCGTCGTTTGCATACTTCCCGTAGGAATATTTGAATTGTTTTTACAGCCGCCGAAAGCTCCCTTGCCAGAAAAGAAGAGAGAGAATCAATCTTATTAAGTTTTATGTCCATTAATTACCTAGTAATCGATTTTAGTTTTCTAATGATCTACGAAAATCCAGTATTAAAGCGGCAGGTTACGGAAATATCAACGTGATAGGAGACGCCGCCGTTTGACCTCACATTTTAAGGAACAAAGGAGCATTACTTGACTGTCGAATTTGCAGATTTCATTCCAACTATTTGGATAAGTATAATTAACCGTAATTAGTTGAATGGGTTACAGTAACAGCCTCCGATTAAGTCGAGATTACTTCAGTTAGCTGCGATCTTAGAAAACTTGAATTTTGACACCGGTCTCGTATTTTTAAAACATCTAGTTTGGGAAAGACTATTTAATTCAAGAAGTTTTAGTTGTCGAGCGTTATTGCAAGGACACGCCCTCGAGCAGGAAAAACCGTCGATTCCGCCATGACACATCCGAAATTTATATAAACGGCATGGTCGTCGTTCTGGTCGTACAGATACTTACTTATGGAAATGTTCGATTGCCATAATGACGACTAGCAGTTCCCTTCGGATGACACAATAATTGCCTTCCGGTCTAGAGAAGACTTTACTGAAATACCCGATGACTCTCTCGTGCTCATCTTGCATTTGGGATAATACAGCACCCATTCCAACATTGCTAGTGTGCGTATCTAAACAAAGCCCCCTTCTCTTCTTGGATAGTTGAGCAGGAACTTTGTCGGGATCTACTGTCAGTCCATTCTCCGAAACCAGATTACCAGAGTATCCCACTTCTTTTTGGAAAAGATTGCACGTATGTGTATTAAGTTGAAGGTTAGCACCGCGTAACCTCATAAACACTCTTCGAGATTCTTAAGGTGTTCTTCGATTCGATCAATCACGATTACGTCCTCCAAATACACGTTTTTCACGATAAACCTCTCAAGACCAATTCCATTAATAATGTCGCTAGGGCGTTACACAAACCAAGGGCATAGCCGTAAATTGCCATAAACCCGACCCTATGCCAAAAGCTGTCTTCTCGCGATGTTCAGAATCCAGACCAACTTGGCAGTAGACGCTTTTCATATCTAGGGAATTTCCTCATCAAGTCCATTCCCAAAATCACGTCATCGACGATGTCTGCTACCAGCACTTGTACCTTTCTTGAATCCAGTACCAATATCGATCGTCAGCTCTGTCAACACCAGAGATATTTATGGTACCTCGATGTCTATCGGGATTGCTGGAATGTTCGCTATCTGATGGGCTAGGAATACGAAAAAAAAATGCACAAAAAATATAGTTTTATTAAAATTTCTAAACCAGCAAGATAAATTTTATATTTACAATGCAATAGCTTGCCTGTTTGCACCATCAAATTTAAGCCAAAATTGCATATCGTTTGCACTGTAGATATGAATTAGTGTCATTACGATTTATGTTGTGAAATACAGAATATTTTCAACAAGTTATCGAATGTAGGATTCCGTCTTAACAAGGCGAGGGTATGTAAGGCTGCTGTAATGCGAATTTAAATGTAAAATGAGACTGGAGTTCACGTTTCACGCTTAAATTACACCCGTAACGAACACGATAAAATGTTATCTGATGTAGGTATATAAAGCGACTACTTTTCCTCCCTACTTCTAAATCCATTCCATATATTCTAAATGGACATCTGTCAGGCCATAAACGGTCAAATTTCGTGGACTTACGAATTTATCATAAAGCATAAATCAATATTTGAGTTTCCTCATTTGCAGTTACGTGGATTCAGAGCAACTACCCAAATTCGGTTGAAAAGCCATTCCACCACAAATATTTTCAGTCGGGTAACTTCAAAACCGCCCTCGAGAAATGTTTCCAAACATGTTTGATGTAATATAAATCCCTGTATAGGTAGTATACCTTCGTTAGAAATGATACACGGAACTAATTGGTTGCGGGGCTTCACATTGTTGATATTGGTACAAATTAGCACATTTTGCTTGAATGTATGGGAAAACTAATTTCGAAAGAAAATTATACGTTTGTAATACGCGAGGCTTTAATTTACGGGGTCATCAAAATTTATGTTCCATCAAAGTAATAAAGCAATTAAAAAACAGTAGCGCCAGTTTCATAAAACTGCCAAACTCAAAGCAATGCCCGCTCCAACGGTTTAAATCGCGAATGCCATCGAAGCGTTAAATTGGAAGGCACATCAAACAGCCATAGAAATATTTATACGTATAACTGTGGAATTGATTCGTCTGATTTCCAGCAGTTGACCACATATCGCAGCATTAATAATAAAGTTAGCAATCTCCGTTACTAGCATTTAATGTGGTTTAGGTTTTGTTTTATTTATTTTTCACAAAACCAACAAAGTGCTGCATACTGCAATAGTATATTGAAAGACAAGTGTTACAATGCGACCTATTGTAATACGACTATCTTGTGGCACGAGTGGCGACGCGAAGCGTTCCGCAACAATAAAGCATTGTATTTTTCATACTCTATTTCGCTCATTATCAGAAACTATAGGGAACATTAGAACTAACCACTTTTTATGCCGTTAAGTTTTAGGTTTCACCATTTTGAAGTTCAAACATGGAAGTACAACGAAGTACCTACTTGTACTAACTAGTAACTGCCAACTTAAGAGATGAGTTACCAAAAAAAAACGACTATAATCACTGTCTTTGTACAACTGTTTGAAAACAGTTGTACAAAATCATCATTGTGACACCGAAATAGAAAAAATTTATTACTCCATCGTATTTTAATTTCAACAATGGATTCTTCTGCTCCCATAAAATGCACCTAGAAAGTTTCACCTAAAGAGCACAAGAATTGATAAAGGTAATACCACAGATTAAATACAACTTTAACAGCAAGGGTAGATGAAGTAAACACAAAGGAACGTTTTTGCTTCTTTACGTACAACTTTTGAAGCATAGTTGGTCCATTAGAGACGAATATTACAGTAAAAGACATTCAAGATCGAAGTTTGATGCTAGAAATTATTGGCGTTTATCCGTCATCGATTGGAAACTATAGTCCGTTTCAGATGTGCGTGCAGTAAAGGAATATGCATATAGCAAAAAATTTTCGCTTACTTCTACGACTTAGGGTAGGGAAAAATAGAGGTCTTCCATATTAACGCTCTCTTTTACCTTCATTTAAGATGATGGTATTGCTTATTCTCTATCCTTGAACGACAGATAATTTTCAACACAGGATGAGCGGTGGTGGTGTTCGTCTTGAACACTAAAAACAAAAAAAAAACGCAAATTTACCATAACAGCACCGTTCTACACTACATACCGTAAATATGCGGATCTTGCGGATTTTTTAATGTAATGCCTATGCGTTTTTTAAAAATAATTTGAAAAGAACAGTCAATTTTCTGTACGACAACATAAAATATGCATATGGTTGATATACAAAAAAAAAATGGAGAAATTCGTGATTCAATATCTGGAAACTTATGAAATCTAGCGTGACGTGTGACATATCACACCACACTTACAATAACTTGTTCAATGTTTCGATTTGAAGATTTACTTTTGTGCGATACGATCTACCCGCGTGTAATGCAACAGACACCGTGCATCCTGACAGCATAGGTACGGCGTGCTAGATTTCATAAATTTT